AAAATATATTAAAATTGATAGACCTGATGATGATGTGATACACATTGAAACATGTCGTCGATACAAAAAATGTAACAAGATGCAGTGTCTACTGAGAATGTTATAATTTTAGATAATTTTAAACAACATTATTTTAAGTTTGTGTATAGACGGAAAATAAAAATATTAGATCATTTAGTAATTTGAATGATAAAGCACAGAATGAGATAAATCTTGCTGGTTTCAACTTCTTCTGTATCATGTTTCACATGGATGAATGTAAAATCAATTTTGATTGTCACAATATGACACTTCCTGACTACAAAGCCTACATACACAGATGGAAGGATGAATAACTAAAGGCAGCATAAAAGTATCAGCTTTCAAACAGTGTTTTAAAGCTATGAGGTCGGGCTCAACCTTCCCTGTTATTCACATCATTATGACCTAGATTCAGTGAAGTTCCATACACAAGGCATGACATCTCCAAACTGTTGTTTTCTGGATGTTCCAGCTGGTAATGATTGATGGGCGAGTATAAGTTCGCCCAGTCCCACAGCATCATGGTACACCCCCTGACCGACTTCCCAGCGTGATGTTGAAAACTGGTCCGATACGCAAGAAGAATCGGCGTAATACAGAACGAAGTTCTGGTTTCAAGTCAAAGCACATAATTTCACAGAGGAGGGGATAGTAACTGGATGTATGAGCTGCAAACTGAAAAATAAATAAAATTATCAATTTAAAATAAGCTACAATGTTCAGACTGAAAGTTCTCATATAGTGACTGCATCCACTTCTCACTTAGTCAACCTTTTCTTTGTAGATGCTTGTATGTGTACACATATTTTAAACAAAGACAATCAACTACATTATAACACTTCTTCTAGTAAAACTGACTTGGGTGCCACAAAACCACAAAAATTAAAGCGATACAAATACTTTACATTCAATGACATAACAAAACAGAATATTCTATAAAATATGGGATCCAGGGTAGCTCAGTCATTAGAGCATGTGAACAGACACTAGATGATTGGGGTTCAATGCCCAGCAGAGGCAAAAGAATTTTATTTCAGCTTCTGCATCCAAATCAGCTCTGAGGTCCATCCAGCCTCCTATCCACTGAGTGTCAGGGGTTCTTCCCCTGGAAGTAAAGTGTGGCTGGGGTGTGATGCTGACCACTCACCCCCATCTAGTGCCAGAGTCAGGAATGAGTATGGAATGAGTAAGAGCCCAATGGCATGTAGTGGGACAGCTTTATTTTATCCTACACTGATATCTTACCCTTTCATCAGACATCTTGAATATCCTTGTAAGGACCAGGAGGAGAAGACAAGTCCAAGCATCACGGTGAGCCTCAGATTGGAGGCACAGAAAGTACTCTAATGCTTCACGACATACTGCAATAAGGCGCTGCTGGATGGTTGGCCACGCATCTTGCCTCGTTTCATCACTGTACATTTTGAACAGGATCCGAAGTACACAAGCTAGACTCTGAGTCTCCTGCTTCAAAAGGTTTGGTTTTGCATTACCTCTGAAACCTGCTGACACAAGAAAGTAATCTAAATCTAAATGTTCAACTTCGGCTGCAGGCAGCCTGCTCTTCCATTCCACCACCAATCAGATTCCTCACATCCCACTTGCCATCTATTGCCTGTCCTACATATAAGGATTCCAAAAATTCCCAGGCAATACATATCGATCCTGAAGATAGCATCAGCAATAACCTGGGAAGATGAAATACAAAATATTCACCCCACAAGAGTTTAGATATATGATTAAATTGACAGGCTTCAATCAATGAACTTCATTAATCTAATACAATACTTTTATTTTCCGTCGTTTCACAAGCTTATTGTTAAAATCACATAAAATTTCACATAAAATTGTTACATTTTTAAAATTGACGACATGTTTCGATATACAATTCTATCATCGTCAGGTCTATCAAAATTAAAATTAAAATCTGGTGTATCTGTTGCTCTGCTTATATTGATTTTGTTTTTGTGAAACGACGGAAAATAAAAGTATTGTATTGAGGAACACAAGCAGGATGCAATTAAGATATAAGATTCATTAATCTGGTCGACAATGAGTAAAACGTTTTAATATAGAGGTGTAGTTTAAAACTTCTAAATACAGAATGTTTCTATGATGTAACAGCTGATAACAAAGGAACTATTTTAAATGTGACTTTGTATATAAATCTAAATATAACATTTAAATGTAGTTTGCTGACCTGCTTTCCAGAGCAGGTTCCGTTGTTCATGATTTGAATTGAAGGCCTTAGCAAAGCGATGTGACTGGAGAAGACAATCGGTAAGGAGTAGGAGATGTTTAGAGCTCAAGTTCCGGTACATGCCTTGCTCCTCCCTCTGCTGCTCTGACAAGCCAGCTTCTACATGCAGCAGGTCTGCCTGTATAGTTAAAGAATACCATCCAATTCAAACATTCAAACTGTTTCAGTTTCTTCTTTTGTGATTTTTTTTGGTTTCACTGTAGCTTTAATGACAGATAAGTACCACTGTGAGAAACACTGTTACAGGTTCAGTTTCTGATAAAAAATGTGATCTGATTACAAATAAAATACTTAATTTAAAATAATTTTTCTGTAGCATATCAACTAAACGCACACTTAGGTATGACCTACATAATTTATATGATTTTCAATCAAATCCAAAGAGCCACTCATTGCTATTGTTCAAGGAAAATAATTCTTTTGCACCAAGTGATATGTTATCAACAAAAACGTTCACTTACATTTGGTTTAAATTAAGTATAAACTATGTGAAACATAATTACCTGAGCAAGTGCCAAGTTTTCTTGATCTTCCTTCCGTGAAGTTGCAGGAAAGAAGACAATGTTGTCAATTGTCTGGATGAGCTCCAGTTGCACTACACACTTGATCAGCAGACCAGCAAACAACCGGTCTGATCCAACCTACAGAGTGAAACACAATTCAGTTCCGGTGTCACATATCCACAAGAGAACACAACATAAAATAATATTGCTTTGAACATTTGCTTTTAATTGTTGTGGCAAGTTACGAACAATGTCCAAATAAAACTGCAGCTACTATATTTTTGGTGACACTGAAGTTCAATACGGTCATTCCTCCATTTCAATTAACTACAGAAAATGGCACATCTCTTATACACACCTTGCTTTTAAATATTTTAAGCTCTTCAGCACAGCCAGGTGGTATGCTGTTGCTTTGTACAATGTACAAACTATTGGAGTGCTTAAGAATTCCTTGTTGACTTGGATCACCATTTTCACTCTGCAAAAAAGGATTACGTTTTGTCTCGTAATCTGCGGTGTAATACTTTCAAAACAACATATTTAAGCAATGAACACTGAATTAATATCAAGCTGTCTTTTCAAGGACTGTGATAAATATTTGAGGTACAAACTTGACAAAACTTATTTAGCTGTAGCATTACAGAACATGATAGTTTTTTAACTGTTATACCGAAATAATCTCTAAATCACTCTCTTTGCCCTCTCGTCCATCATCTGGCCTCCATGTAAGCAGAGCACTTGGAATGGTGCAGTTGAATATGTCCAGCATGCACTGACATGTCTTGTCCCATGTTGAATCTTGGAACTTTAGACCATTGGAATTGACTAGATTTTCCAGGCAGTTTGTACCTGAGCGAGCCAGCTGCTCATTATCTGAAAGAAAAAAGTCAATATTCAGTATTACGATACTTATAAAAACTAACAATAACTTAATAAGTGAACCCTGTAAAAGCTAAAGCAATTGGATACACAACTGAACACTTCCATTTAAACCTCACACAAAAGAGCTGAATATGTCAGTTCTAGAATTTATGTATACATAAAATTATTGGTTCTCCAACCAACAACATGGAACATTATATGCTTTTAATAGAGATAATATGAAATATGTCTACATCAAAATTCAAAGTCTCAATCGGGTCAAGTGACAACTTTATGAAAAAGAAAATTATGATCATCAGATCTCTTAAGAAATAAGAGAATCTCATATTCCATAACTTCCATTTATTTAATTTAAGAATATGGCCATTCCATGCACTTTGTCAGTATATCAAGAGGCTATTTATGAATAAACCTCTGCTAGTATTGTAGTGAGAATAGCAAAGACAAAACATATATCTAGAGAAAAACAGGAAAATAAGGGCTATTTTATATTAAATGGGAAGTATACCACAAAGCATTGAAATATTTTAATACATCATGTTAACTTTGTTTTTTATTTGAGTGGTTTTAATACTAAATAACCTGTGTTTATGTGATAAAACATCACAACAAGTGCACTTCCTAATCTCTGTTGTACAGCACAGATCTGATAATGGCACAGCTCTGACAAACATGTAACCTTATAATACTGAAATTCTTTGTACTAACAAAAGCACTGTGTTCGACAGATGACAATATACCTTATTAAAATCATACCTTGCTGGACACACCAATGTAGCTGTGTGTACAGATCCTCAAGAAGCAATGGCCCAAGCACATCAAAATACTGTGTAAATACATCCACAATAGCATAAAGAGCATGGTTGCACGTTGTAGTCATCCACTCTGCCTTCTGTAAAAGTGTAAAAACTCAGTTAGGAAATCTAACATTTCAGTTCATTTCCATATCACATTAAACACTCCATGACAGGAAACTATTTTGAACACTTTATAAACTTCTGACAGAACTAAAAGGCAAAACTTTTAAAACAAAATTTTATCAATGATTTTCAAATTACATTTCATTTTCTCCCTTTGGGTTTGTGGACGATTACTAGCTTTTCTTTGTTTTTAATTATGAATAATTATAATCACATGTTGGCAAAATACCTTTACTATTTCTACTAAGGTTAATATTTCTGAGAGTACTAAAAGATACCACTCATTAATGACACCATTAGCATCACTGAAAGTTTAATTTCTATGGTCAGAGCCACAATACCTCAATGTTTACTTTTCTCCACTTAATAATTTCTTCATTTAGTGCTCAACTATTCTTCTCAGCTGGTCAGACAGCAAGTAACCTGTCATGACAATATGAGTAACTTTTCAAGCCCCTACGACACAAAGCTTACTGACCTCTGTATGTTGTTCTGGAAGCTTCATGTTGTCAAATATCCTGAACAGTATTTTAAAGAGATCTCTCCACCAATGAGACTGGAATGCATCACCGTAAGTCTTGACAATTTCAAATAGAACAGTAAGACCTCGAGTACGTACGTCCAGCTTGCAACGACTAACTATACATGATAACTCAAACAACAGGGGAAACCACCCCCGTACCCATACTCGGTCTTCTTCTGGGACATTGATGTCTTCCATATTGTGTTCACGAAACAACTGGAATAAAGGCAGATTGTTATCGTTGCATAATTTCTTCGTTAATCACATGATCAAATCTGATATCACTGTTTAATTGGCAATATCAGTTTTCTTAATGTGGTTCATTTGTTGGAATGCTACAATTATTCGAGATATGATCTCTGTAATTTTATTTACTGACAAGAGAATATTCTGTGTTTTGATCTATTACTTCCAAAAAATACTCATTTGAAGGGCTTCTTTGAATTTCAGAGTTTCAAGATTTTTTAAACAACCTGAAAGTCCGAACTGCTGTAGTAAAAATTACAAAATATTATATAATCGACTGTAAAAATATTAATGTCGCAAATAAAATGTAGTGGGCAGTGTTTATATGTGTGTGTGTAAATAAGTAGGATTGAACCAGCCCCACAGAGTTGACAAACATAAAACATTTGTCACTCAGCAACCTTGTTTGAATATATATACACTACCTGATCAAAAGTATCCGGACACCTATGCGAAACTGTCCTCTAAGTGTCCCTCAGATTTACTGCCCAGTAGTGGACATTAATATGGGTTGGGCCCACCCTTGCCATTTATTACAGCTCTAACTCTGCGGGGGAGACTGTCTACCAAGTGTTGGAACGTCGCTGGGGGAATGGCTGACCATTCTTCCTGCAACGCTGTAGCAAGTGTAGTTAGTGATGTGGGTCGTTGGGGTCTGGTGCGCAGTCGCCTTTCTAGTTCATCCCAGAGGTGTTCAATAGGATTGAGATCGGGGTTCTGGGCTGGCCAGTCCATTTTCGGAATCTTATTGTCCACAAACCACTCACGAACAGACCCTGCTTTATGGCAGGGAGCATTGTCATGCTCC